TACGATAATCTTGACGAATTCGTTGACAGATTAAAGCTCTTAATTGCGTTACGAGATGCTGGGCATATAGAACATAACAATGAAACCATTTCAATTATTGAAGAGTTTATCAAAAAAAAAATAGTGAAAGAATGTTTCTTTTTTCTACCCAAAAATCATATTCATTTTTAAAACACTTATACTATCATATTTAAATAAACATTATCTTGAAACTAATCACTTAAAATTACAAAACTATTCACTTAAGGATATTCACTTAAGATTACAAAGAAATTATCATAACATTTTGCATAAGTGTTCTGTAAATTTGTAATTCTAAAATTAGTTCGGCCATTTCGTTAATATTTAACATAAAAATATTTTTAATCAGATGTACGTCATTTTGAACATTTTCAAGCGATCAGTCTGAAATTTTAAGCAGCAATTTCTACGATGATACGCAAATTGTAAAAAAACTTTGTTATATTTGGTTCAATCAATTTGTTCCTATAATCTTACAAAAAAAAATGTACACCTTAAACCTAAATTTATACATTTAGATAATGTCATAATTCATGCGGAACTTCAAATAGAATTGAAAAATTGTATTTTTAACAAAAATTATAGCGAAACAATTCTGATTCACGATTGCTTAAGACACTTTCTAGTTGTCCGTCGAATTTTTATCAGATTTGCGACTAAAGAAAAATTAATTTCTGCACTCATAAGTTCACAGTTGATTATGAAACGAGGTGAACGCATCTCCCTCGAGCATTGATCGATTTTCCAATTGTCGATCGCACTTATTGATGATTTTGATAATAATGAAATTCCATGCATTCCTCGTATAATCAATTTAACCATTTATACGCTACGATGTACATTCGCTGCGATGTTATTTCATAATTAAACTTTAAAAAATTTCAAATATTTATGTATGTGTATAAGTGAATAAACTTCAAATATATAAAATAGAAAAAGGCATTCTAATTGTTTATTCACGATCGTTTTCTCTTTAATTATAAGAAAAAATATAAGCATGATATTATTTACAAGTTAATAAAATATACGTCATTTTAAATATAAAAGTGAAAGATGAAAACTTGTAATCTGATATGTTTGCGAAACGTAAAGATAAAATTATCGCATATTGATAACAGATTTTCCGAGTGCAGATTAGTTAAATGATAACTCTCTTTCACGTATATGTGATGCAAAAGCAACTGAAGTCATGGGAAACTTTCGTTCTAATCATACTCTTACGAGCGAATTAATACAAGAATATGTCGAATTATCATATTTGAGCAAATCTGAAATATATCAGTAAGTATTATTCATATACATATTTTTGGATCAATAAATAAGAACATTATTCACTTTTTTAGCATTTTCAATCTACTTAATAATTTAACACCAGGAATTTTGCACGATAATTTACATTATCGCTTTACGAAGAAGCAAATAGATGAAATATTACCTCAAGTCCGTGTAAGTAATAATAAACTGTTGACATATCTGATTTTTATTTCATCCGATTAAAGTCAATCACTAGACGTATTCATAATGTCAATTTAAAGATATAGCAAAGTTCATATTTGTCGAATAATATAGATATAGATTTCATTCAGTTAAAAAAGAATCCTATTACTTGTTACAAATAATACAGAACTATGAAAATTTATGATACCATTATTATGATATATTCGATTGCAGATATAGGTAGGAAATAACGGTTGAAAAAATAGCGGTACGTATTGTTATACGCACGCTGTTAACTCTTCTCTTACTAAAAATGATTAAGATCACTCTATAAAATTCAATTTGGATTAAGAACTCTAGGTGAACATAGTATATCTTGATATTTTCATTCAGACGTATATTCATTTATAATTCGTTTCATATTAATTTCATATAATTTTAAGAAGAAACTAATAATTTTGTTTATATATTACTTGAAATTAAAAATTTTTTGTATACAACAATTTTCCATAGATTGTATAATTTAATAGTCATATAGAGAGAGCTGTCTCATATATATCTCATATATTATTTTTATATTTTAAATATAGAATATATAATCCTATATATTAGATATAAATATAAACAAAAAAATAAAGAGAATCTGTGATAGATATGATAAATATATGAACAATGATTTAAACATTCAGTCTTATTTTTTCAGCATAGTCCTTTTCGCGATTCAATATACCGGATATTTTCGTCGGAACAAGACGAATGCTTAAGTTTCGAAGACGTTTTGGACCTTTGCTCCGCCTTTTCGGAAAATTGTCCTTTGAACGTTCGTTCAGCCTGGGCATTTCTAATATTCGGTAAGAAGGCAAGAAGACATAATGTCTTTATTCGCTTACTTTAATTTTTTTAATTTCAGCTTTAATTACTTTAAATTCCTCATCTTTTTCCGCAATTCGACTATTTGTCGAGAAATTATAAACGCGAATACTTTCGACCACTGTAATGTTAAGATGTGTATACATTTGTTGAGTATCATATCACCGTTGTATATCATCATTACATATCATCATTGCATTTGTATCTATATAAAAACGGAAAATACAACCTATCTTTTGACCGTCCACATTAATAAGCAATAGTATTACAATACGAGAATACGCAACGAGTACAACGAATGGATACGCACTTTTAAATGATTGCATACCTTAAAAGAAAAAAAAAAAAGAAAAACAGAAAAAGCCAAACTTTTTCGCAATAGATATGATCAATACAGTTCTGTCACTTATTTATATTCATTTTATTTGCATTTATGTGTTAAGCATAATCTCAACTATGCTATATTTTAATATTAATACTAAATAGACGTTTATACTAAAATAGACGCCAGTTTGAAAATAATTGTTCAATTTATATAAAATTTTACACAAAACATCTTCATGTATTGCTCAAGCTATGTATAAAGTGTTAGTTAATGAAATCAATATGGCAATTTCGTAAATTTTATTTATAATTTAAAAAAGTATTTATAAAAAGTATTTATAATTAAATTGCCATCATTTTGTAAATAACTTTCCAATTTTTTTGAGATTTTAAACCAAATTTTTTCACATCTTACAAAAATATTCTGCAGAATCGATTAGACTGTTTCATTAATGTTTAATATAAAATTGTTTATAAAATTAAATGGACGCACTTTTGAATTTTTTCAAATAATTGGTCTGAAATATTAAAAAGCAATTTTCCAACTATATGGTACACAAACTTTATATAATCAAAAAAATACATTTAGAAAACGTCACAATTTGTGCAAAACTTCAAGGATTGAAAAATTCTATTTCTTTCAAAAGTTATAGCAAGACAAGAATTTTTAGCACTAATAATTACATAAGTAACTCTTGGTACCTAAAAAAAGAAATATCTGTTCGAGAGATTTTTTGTTCACCTGCAATGATATCAATGATGAAATTATACTATAGCTATATTCATTATCTTAATCATTTAATTTCATGAAGTAGGACACATTGGCGAGTCACTGTACATTGCTTATAAACGAAAGTGTCACGCATTCGTTTTCAGACTTCGATGGCGATGATCAGCTTGCATTGGCCGATTTAATTGAAGCTATTCAAAGATTAACTGGTGTTAATGAAAATGAAGAAATCAAGAATGAAATGGATCGTGAACATGCCGAAAAAGTGGCACGTATGGTAAGTGTCGATGAATTCTTACTTAGTAATATAATGAATTTCTTAAAGTTTCGCTTTTTACGATCTTAGGATATTTTGTTTAAATTCTTATATTTTAATTTTATAGATGATATCTGAAATGGATTTCTCTGAAAATGGAAGTATTTCGCCTCAAGAATTTGAACGACTCGTTGCGAGGATGCCGGACTTTGCTCACTCTTTTCGATTTAAGTTCTAATCTTAGAAACGCTTTAAATCCACTGATTTTAAGATATCAACGTATGTGTTATTTTTATATAATAAGCTATCGCTTATATATAATACAGTTTGAACGATCGTAAATGCCAGAGAGCACCAAATCGGGTATGCAAGGAGTTTCTATTTTTCTTTCATAAGTCAATGGAAGGATTGAAGGTATTTTGTATTTCGTATATGACGTCGGATACTTTTTTAAATACGACGGCATCAACGTTGATGCGCACTGATACTTGTACTTATTTGTTTTGAAAAAGTGTAATGGATGAAGTTTTGATGAATGATCCTTATATTGATCACGATGAGCTTGTACCACCTTTTTATAAAAAAAAAAATAAACATTAGTTTGAATATAACTCGTAATGAAAAAGATTCTCTAAAAAAATGTAATAAAAATGATTAATTTTATAGTAAAATAATATTATATGAACAAATTAATACTGTGTATAAGTCGTCCACTTCTTTCATGAGTATCGGATCAATGGTAGAAATATTGTTCTGTGGAAATGCAAGAGAACGGAGTCGATCCTGAAAAGTCATTATAGAACTTGGTCGTGGAGTGTAAGATTTCTTTGAAACATTCCAATTATACGATGGTATCTTTATGAAAAATATTATAATAAATAAGAAATATGAGAAAATATGAATTATTGGAAAAGAAAAGTTTCTTAATTCGTTAAAGATTTAATTTGAAACAACCAATGACCACTAACAATAATTCGTGAAATCGTCCCATTTCTATAATTCCTGAAATAACCTCTTATATCAGTACCTTCCAAATCGTGTTTTGAAAGGAGTTGAGGTCCCATAAAACATGGTTTTAAAATTGGTGAATAGTATGTAGAGAGAGAATTTGACATGTTTAATTATATTTTTTATTTTCCTGAATATGAAAGAAGAGCTTATTTATCATTTTCATGTTACTTTTGAAATTTGACATGTAGTAGAATAATTGAATAATTATCATCTACAATGTGACAATAATTAAGTCAATATTTTCAATTTCTAAAATTAATTCTTTCTCATACAATGCATTATTATATATATTATATTTATTACTATAATAAGACTATATTAAATAGTAAATATGAATAATAACATCAAAAATATATTTATATAAGTTATCTTATTTTCAACTTCGTTAATATCAGCACCTTGAATTATAACTTTTTAACTAACTTTCAGTTGTTTTGTGACTTTTCACTAAATATAATCACATAAAATCCATCTAATCTAGAAAATAATAAAGATGGCATACTACACATATACAAACTAATACACTTGTAAATTACTATAAAATATAAATATAATCATAAAAAATAGAATATTAGATTAATTCAAATATCATGATATATCTACAATTAAATCACTAAGTTTTTTATTGTCTCCTGTGTCAAGTTTAGGTTTCCTTGGCTTAGACAAACACTCTTTCGTTCTCTTTAATTTAGCACTTTGAATAGGACTAGGAAATTTATCATACTTTGAGTGACCCCCAAAACCATCATATGTGATTGAACCGTTTTTTACAGATTCCTATATATTACAATTTATAATAATTGATTAAAAATAATAAATTTGTAATAATTAAATACATATAAGACATAATTTCTACTAATTAAGAATTACTGTTACACTTACAACAGAATTTTGGGAAAGTCTGGGTTTTTTCGTTAAAATAGAAAACGTAGATCTGGTAGCTCGTCGTGCAGTATATTGTTCCTTTAAAGCTAATATACCATGTGATTGGACTGGAATATTAGGTGAATTTATTTTGATATCCTGTAACAATATTTTACTAATTTCTACCATGACTATAAATGATTAATAGATCATGAATAATATCATAACATTACAGAATGTGTAAAATAAAAATATATTTTGATACCTCCATTATGAAATTTGTTTTTCTTTTCAAAGAGTTTTTTGTATCATTCTTGACACCCATCTGATCAGTATATTTAACTTCTCCTTTAGATATTTTAATAGAATTCGAATAGCTCTCTTTTGTTTTCATTATATTTGATACATGTGTTTTGATATATCCATTATTTTCAATATCTTGAAGCTTATTTTGTAATACCATTTTTTCATTCTCACATGTTATTAATTCTTCTTCTAACTTTCTAAAAACGCACATATAGATTAAAATATTTATGCTAATCTAACTAATTAAATATAACATACTTTCGTTTTTCCTGCTCTTCAAGTAGATAATTACGTTCCATCGAAACTTTAGTGAGTTCCTGCTGTATGTTTTGCAATTTAGCTCTCATCTCTCTTCGTTTAGTTACACATTTAGCCATTTCTCTAAAACCAGAAAAGATTAAAAATAAAAATTTATTAATATTATAATATATTTTACAATATTTTATCTGATATACCTTTTCATTATAGATATATATGTAATAAGTGTACTAGAATCATTTGTTTTAGAAACCATATCGTCTACTTCCTCAGCAGGAGCATCCATTAAAAGTTGTATACTTAAAACACAAATGATAAATTTCGAACTTTATTAAATTTGCAAAATATTAAAATAAATATTTTTTGAGTAGAAAAAGAAAAAAAAACATACTTTTTTAAATCTTCAACTCTTTTCCTTAACCTAATGACTTCCTGATTAATAATATCCACTTCTGTGCATTGTTGTCTAAAGTACTTTATTTGCTCTTTTAATGCATGAATGGCAGTTTCTTTCTCACGTACTTCACTTTCGGCCTTTTTGACTTCACTTCTTAACCCAGAATTTTGTTTCTCCAAATTCTCATTTTTCTCAGTATAATGCTTAATATCCTTGTCTTTAAGTAAAATTTGAAATGTAAGTTTGTCAACTTTATCTTGCAAGAAAGATGTATCCTCTACAATAGTATCATTATTAGAGAAATTAAAATAGATTCTATGTATCTTATTTTGATTTGTTTTTTCTCGACACTGCGGACATGACTTTGATCTATATAAAGAAATGTACAAATATAAGGTTATTGTAAATATATTCAACAAATAATATTTAAGTATTTAAGTGATAAAAAAATTGAAAAGTACTACCTTTCTAACCACTGTATTAAACATGTAAAGTGAAAAATGTGACCACATGGTGTATAAAACACATCATCTGATGGCATTAATAAATCACTGCATATAACACAAACAATATTCATTTTAATTCCTTTGATTTAAAAAATTAATTATCTGCACACGAAGTAGACAATAATAAAAGACAATAATAAAATCAAGGGACCTTTAGTCCAAAATAGTCAGTTTTGAATGAAAATAGATAATAAAATTAATCAAATTTCATATATCTTAAACATATATCCTATTTCTACACATTTATCTACAAGTGAATTTAAATAAACATAATATATTTACGTCTCCAGTAATAAACGGTCAATTAAGCAATTCGAAAATAAATGTAACATTCTTTATCCAATGAAAGTTACTAATTTAAGATATAGATGGCAATACATACGTATAAAAGATATAGAAGGCTATTCACCTTTCGTTCGAAGTATGTACACACAAGAATGGACAAAATATGAACTCAACGCAAGCGATGAACACTATTCCCATCATTTGTCTATCGTATTAATGTTTAAGCTTGTTAGACCTTTTCACGCGTAAAATAACAATCGAATTCGTACGAATTAGATAGAATTAAATAATCTAGTAGTTTAGCTGTGAATTCACGCTTTTCAGTCTCATATTTATATTTATCTTTGATCTTTTTTCTGTTATTATAAATCATCATCATATGTATTCTAGGATGTACAATAGCTCTCAAATCTTTTGACGTTAAGTTTCATACATTACTTTGTAAACGTTTGTAAACACTGCTATTTTTCTTTGTTTTTCGGCTCAATTATTCTTTAATCCTTGTACAATACGGAGGTTTTCTTCGTTACAACTCGAAAATATCGGATTGATGTTGAAAAACCTATTTCTTTAAAATTAAAATTTCTTGTCAATCGCCGAGAAGTCATTTGACATTTTTGATTCTTGCCAATAAATAATTATTGTTGTACATATACGCTTGTAAACTTCTTTTAATATAATAAATTATGATGAAATAACATCGAAAAGAATATTCAATAGATTTTAAAGAGATTGTAATATGTATTTTAAAAGAAGGACCTAGTCAATTAGAAATTGTCTGCTGTTTTGGTATATCTCGACTGGTCAGTCGAGTTATAATCATTAATATAAAGTACAGGGAAATGATAATCATAAATCCAGTCAAGGAAAGCCTTGTAAAACAGAATTAAATAGTAAAAGCCTTGTAAAAAAGAATCAATAAGATTATCAAAAGTACTTCAGTCGCTGATCCCCGAAAGTCTGCACGTCAAATTATTAGAGAAATACAGCAAAATTATGGAATTAAAAAAATCTATCAGAGCAAAAAATAGGAAGGCTAAAATTGATTGCTAAGGACGCCAGTCCTTCATTCTATGTAGGAGATACAATTGATCGCTTTTTTATTGGGACATTTTAAGAAAATAAATAATACGTTATGTTAGAAAAGAAATGCTACAGAACTGAATATTCCAATAGGATAATGATCAAAAACATTGAGTTAAGCTAATAGAAGAATATTTTACAAAGAGGAAGATCAACATTTCGCAGTGGTTTAGTCATAGTCCAAACTTAAATTCTATAGAGTACTTGTGGGAGAAATAGGATAGACATATTAGAACACAGAATTACTTAAATCAGAATAATCTTTTTAAAGCTTTGGATAAAAATCTTTTCAAAGCGAATGGATAAAAATTCCACAGAATCAAATAGCGGAACTTATCAGATCCATGCCCAGATGTGAGACTGTATTATCGGCAAAGGAATGTACAACTAAGTATTAGTATTTCATTAACTTATAAAATAATTATGATCTATTTTCTTTATGCAATTGCAGTAAAATCGTTAAACATAGTAATATCAAAAGACTTATGACCTGCGATAAAGTAAATTTTTATTTATATAATATTCATTTAAATTGAATACGATATATTTTTATTATAAATATGAATTACTACATGTAAATTATAAATTATGATGCTTAATATATGTATAATGTAATAGCATTAATGTAATTGATGTTATGAATAAAAAACTATTTGTCAAAAGACTTTTGAGCGCTACTGTACATAATGTATATAAGTATATTCTTTTATTTTTACTTATTAATGTATTATTTTTGTTATTATATTATATATTATTATTATTATAATAGTAGTGTAATAGTAATAATATAAAATGGAGTACTCCTATAGAGAAACCATAAAAAAATAACACTGGGAATTCTTACTTCGTAAATAATGTAGAACGATACGAATTCGTATTTTATCAAAAAAATATATAATATGTAAGTATGTATTCACTAATTATTATTTTTAATCAAATAATCGATAAATGTATATACTTTCGAACAAAACTATATTGCAACTGTGTTCTATCTAGCACAGATCATTGCAAAACACACATCTACTATCAGTGGAGAGAATAAATATAAAAAATTGGATAATAACGCATTACTACATTATCAAATAAGGAAGAACTTCTACAAAATTTCGACTTTCAGTATAGGAAATATATAAAATTATTATGCATTTTTAATCGCTTATTAATTTAAAATATATAGTTTTACTGTTACGTTCCAAGGATTTTGAAAAATTAGAAAAGATTTTTTTTGCTCATCATATGCACATAAACTTTACTTTTTCCAGTTTTAAATATTGTTCCTATTATTCTACATTTAGATTTCACTCTTTTGACTTTACAAATCGATTTATTACCTATGTGAAAAACTAATTACTTATTAGTTTAAAATGTACATTATCACTTTTATATTTACTTTTATATATCGTAGTATTCTACGCATATATATTATCACTTATATATATATATATATATATATATATATATATATATATATATATATATATATAACTTATTATATATATAAAAACTTCTACATATATTTATATAAAACCGTAAAACTACGGTATATAAAAATAAATATAAAAGTGATAATGTACATTCTAAACTAATAAGCAATTAGTTTTTTGTGAACCTGTATTTTAATTAGGATTTAAATGTAATTGCAAAAAAAAATAAAAATTAGTTGATTATATTCGTTTACGTCGATAGAATAAAAAAACTGATCATCCAATCTCGAACCTACCTCATTGCTGTAGTACGAATCTAGATACTTGCCATTATACTTCATATTAATTATAAGATTTCTGCATTTCTAGTATATAATATATACAGCGAACTACACATTTTTCTAAAATTTAACAATATCTTAAAATCTTAGTTCCATTGATATAAACAAATATTTCCTTATTTTTTCCATAGAATCATCTGTTCAAAGCTTATTAAAATGCTTGAATGAATTACCGTAGCTTCTCCGTGTGAACATCCTTAAATGCATTTCATTGCGTCTGAAATGGATTAGAAAATCGGAGCATCATCAGTTTACACAACAAACAGACAATCGTCAACTTCACAGTAACAAACGCATACCGTTCAAGGATTTAAGTGAAAATTAGTAGTGAGGATATAAGGAATTTTCCCTTATACTTCAAATTTCGAAAGATGCCACGTACGAAACATTTTCTTCGCGAAAAATATCGAAAACAGCGTTTACGCGAACAATGAGTTCAGGCGTAATTCTTGACCGATTTTGATGAATAAGATTTCATTTTCAAGGTGAAAGTTTAAGCGAGAATCCGCTTTTTCGGATTTTTGAAAATTCTTTACTTTTTTGCAAAAATTATTCTCGAAAAGACACCATTCCTTGACACGATTAAAAAAAAAATAAAGCTTTTTTCAAAATTTGAAAAAGCGGAGTTCTTATTTAAAACTTCATCTTTAAAATAAAATTTTGTTCATCAAAATCGGTCAAGAATTACACTTAGATTCATAGTTCGAGTAAACCATTATAAAACCAAGGATGATGAACAATGCAAAAATGCATGCAAAAATGGTTGCATCTACTATTTATTTACTAACACTTATTATATATTAATTGTTATACATACAATAAATTATCAAATTAGAATCCATGCCTTTATTATTACATAAAAGGTTCATGAACATAATAAGAAGATAAATGCTTGAAGTTAATCAACAATGACGAAATATTCTATTGTGTTTAAAGAAACATTCAGGGGTCTAATATTTACAATATATACATAACAATTCCCAATGTTTTGAAAATAATTATAAGTATTTATTCTAAAATGCTACTATTATTCAACAAATATAGAATATATTAATCGCACAGCTTCTTCCGCCAAATAGTTATTGTTTACAATTTAAAAAATCATAAATTGAATCATATACAAATTATAGAAATAATTAATTTATAATAATACAGTCATTTTATAATAATACTGAGATGGAAACTAATAAATATATCTTTATAAATATTTAAATCTTGGCCGACAGTAAAACGATTAAATAAATTAATATGTTAAAATGTTATTACAAATTTCTAATAAATTTATAGCATCATAACATGGTTTATAGCAATATAATATCATAAATATGTGCATTAAAGATGTTATATTTTTATTACTTGATCAAATCTGTTTTGTTTTCATTATAGATATTACTATCTATGTTGATTATGATCTAGAAGCGCATTGAAATGAAATATATTATAATTTACTCCTTTATCAAAACAATAAAAGTAGAGAGAGAGAGAGAGAGAGAGAAAGAGAGAGAGAGAGAGAGAGAGAAAGAGAGAGAGATAGAGAGAAAGAGAGAGAGAGAGAGAGAGAGAGAGAGAGAAAGAGAAAGAGATAGAGAGAAAAAGAAAGAGATAGAGAGAAAGAGAGAGAGAGAGAGAGAGAGAGAAAGAGAGAGAGAGAGAGAGAGAAAGAGAGAGAGAGAGAGAGAGAAAGAGAGAGAGAGAGAGGTTGGATTAATTATAAATTATGTAACCAGTGGAAAAATAAATAAACATGATCATTTCTCTGAACTAATATTTACCATGATGTTGCAGAAAATTTGTCAAATGTATCAAATGCTATAAGAAGAGAGATTAATATTAATACTTAGCCTATTTAAATCAGTATATAAACGTCGCACAAGATAAATAATGGCGGGAAAAACCGATCAAAATTAAAATATTTTATCGTACTCACAAATATGTAGTATATATGAATTATACCGATATTTAAACTTTGGTATCCTTTTCAGATTCATCGGAAGTATCTAGCTTCTCTACCTTTTTCTCTTCAACTTTTATATTGGTTAAGTTCGGTGAACTCCTTGCTTGTGGTATGATGATTTGCAGAGAAGTTGGGACGCTGTGAATGGTCTTCCGACGAGCCAGCAACGAAGGTCGTCTCTCATCTGTTCTCCAATGAACACCCTTCTTATCGCTAGATCCGGTTGAAGAACACTGTCTTTGAAGAAGATAGTTAGAAAAGCTTTCTGATCTCTGTTCTATAGTTTCTCTGAAACGCTGTAGATCTATCGCTTCTAGTTGCGCATCTGAACATTCCGAAGTATCCGCTAAAACGAATCGTTCAAATTGTTTAACGTTCTTTAACTTATCCATTGTATTATCGTCCTGATCCTCTATGTAACGATCGTCAACGTCTTCATGAAAAAAAGCAGAGTTATCAAAGCCTTCGCGATTCTCTTGATCTTCGGCTTCGTCGGTAAATGAAATCTGTAAAGCTGGTGGGACGCATAGTATTTTAGGAGCAGTAAATGGTGCGGGCGTGTCGGGACCTCGATGACGGTTTATTCCTGATAAGTTGGTGGCACTCGGCCAAGGTTGCAGCAATATCTTGGGTGTTTTTATTGCTGCAAAGAAAGGCTTTCGATTCGACTCAATTCGTGGATTCGTATGCCTAGCAATAGCTGAAAATTTTCTCATCGCACCAGTCAAACGCCTGCGTTGTTGATCGCCTTGCTCAGCTTCGCACTGTTGTTGTTGTTGTTGCTGTTCTTGATTATCTAATTGAAGAACCGTTTCACTAGAGTTACTAACCATCGATGGAGTTGTTTGAGGTGACCCGCTAATCTGGCTGAAACAAACGAATCTAACTTAATAGAGTTCGTATATAAAATCTTTAAAGCTCGCCCATAAAAAAATATCTACATTTTAATCTTGCACTCAAGCATGCACGCATACGCACATATTAAATTAATTGAAAAAATATATATATTTGATAAATTAATTAAATTAACTAATTTCAACCTTACCGCTTTTCAGTCATTGGACTGTCAGTATGCGTTACTAAACTAGCACTCGACGTACGAGGTGTGTTTCTGGGTTCTTCCTCTTCTTCTAATATTCCTGGTAAGAACATTGTTTGCTTTTCTTCTGGCACCCTAAACAAAATTTTTTGCTGTCATGTTACAATAATTTTTTTCTCTCGTGTTCAACGTCAAAGAATAAACAATCAAGAACCAAAAGGAAACTCACGGCATATCTGCAACGCTGCCACGATAAGTCTTTCTCTTGTAAGCTGCTGCTGCTTCGGTGTAAGGTAAGATAAGATTTTCTGCATCAAAGTAAATATCTTTTACGAGAGGCGGACAGCGAGTCATCAAAGTATCCACGCCCAAATATGATACCTAAAGCAAACGCAAACACTCGCAAGTTTTCAATTAGGCAAACTATTGATGATCAAAAAACATGACAATCTTACCTTGACATGACGATCAATAAGCCAATTCAATTCGAAATCCTCGTCATCGTCGCCAAAAGGATTTATCAATTGTTCAGCTACCTGTAGTGAATTATCAAATTAGTATCTATATCATTTTATTATTCATATTGTACTTGCCTTTAATAAACCCATGAAGAAAAAAAATTGTAGAATCGTAAATAGAGGACAATATATGTCAACTTTTAGCTGAAATTGTTTTTGATTTCCCTCGATATATTGACGACCAACAAGTGCAACTGCAAAGAAACTGTACGTTGCAAGGGTCACGACCTGCGTGTAAACCAAAGGTATGGAAACCCAGTCATAACTCCATAAGAGTCCACATTTAGAGCGAAAATCATTGAATTCCTACAACGTATATATACATATATATGTATGTATGAAAAATTTGAAGGAGTTTGTATACTTATTTTGCTAAAAGAATTTATCGGGACTAGAATCAGAAATTGTTAATTGTTAATGCAATTATATGAGACATTACCAAGACAAGAAACGAAGTTGAGCCGATAAGTAATCGCAAAAGTCATTAAATCGCTCATATTTAATCTTGAGAAACAAAGTCATCGTTGATGGAGCGTGACGATCTTTGCGTTTCGACGAAACAAATACTCGATATTGACACGTAGCTACGTGTAAGGAAGATCATAAATTTAAAGAAAATTTTCCTCGGACGACAATTAGATCGCACTTGATAATTTTTAAGAAATTCGTTTCTTCCCATCAATGAAATCCAAGTAAACAAACCTCCATAATTATTTTTAAACCTTGCGCATCGGGCAACCTATGGTTTCGACGTGCTTCCTTCAACAGATTGATAAACCATGTACATGGGATCCAGTAGGTATTGAATTCGAGACTTGGTACCGATTGAAATAAATCTAATTCCAAGGAAGTCATGAAACCTGTGACATATTAATTACTGAAATAATAATAGAACGCTTTTGTAGACGATATTTTACTTTACCGGAATCTACCACGTGATCGAGAGTTGGAAACCGTCTTTTTACCGCCGAACTAATGGAACGTAGTACAAGTATTAGAGAGAGATTCAAATATCTCATAAGACCTCTCCGTAACATACGACCGTATTCATCATCTCCGCTAACATAAAGTGCCACTAGATGCATAACCCTAGAAATAAATAAAGAATTATCTTTAAAAAAAATATAATAATAAAGTTGAAAACATACTTATCCGGCCAAGGTATCGCATTATATTGTTTCCACCATCTATCAGCTACGTGGGACACGTAAAATCCTAGCACGAAGCTAAGAGGAATTAAGTTAATGAACGTATCACAATATATTACGAATTTCTCAAATTCCCTGTAAAAGAAATAGAGAATTTTATTCATTGCAAGTCGAAATCTGTCAAATTAAGCGCATACCTCTTTTGTAAATCGGTCAAAGCATGACGATAAATAGCCGAGAGTGATGCGAACATAATCACAAAGAGTACAAGTTCTCTGTAAATAAGCTTGTAGAGCGAACCCCTCCACATAAGCAGAAGTCTGGTAAATCCTCCGCTCGTGGAGCTGGCAACTTCGTATTGATAAGAGACGGTCATCTTTTATCCATTTAAAAAAATCTCGTTTTCCCTTTTGATTTCATATAGTTATTCAATCCCTTTACGTTGCGCTTAAATTTTAACTTTTCGGTCTGTGAGTCAAAATATAATTATAAGGTATAGAATAAGTAAAAAAATAATTCATAAAGAATCGATTGCACATTATCTTACATTTCGATATGCTGACATTTGCATAGTTCGAAATCCAACCATAATCGATCGTTATGATGGAGTACAGTGCACATTAATATTTTAGTGCTTAGTAAAGTAACATACAGTCCTGCCATTTCATAAATAAATTGTGACGTCAGACTACCCTTTATCTGTAAATTACAAGTGAAATAGCTCTCAGTTTCTAGGAAATAAGAGGATGAAATACGACCATCGCTCATTTTACCTACCATTTGCAAATGTATCCCATTCTTTAGAGAAAAGATATAATGTAGCTATCATGCTATGACCACAAACGGTACATACTGCACCTTTAAGGAAGAATCGGAATATAAGCTTTCTTGTCAAATATAAAATGTCCTTCGATATTATTCTATTAATTCTATTATAAGATTGCATTAAGATTTTTAAAGTTGAAACAAGTCGCACGTTCTTTCGACGAAATGAAATTAAAGCAATTCTTGTAGGTTGGCGTACACATTCGTCTTATCGTAAAATAGAATTTCGAAACTCTATTGACGTTTATACGTGTAGCTCCTTCGAGTGTTGGAACCCAAAAATATCGAATTTCTAGTCATGATACTTCAAGATCATTTCGTATCTTTTAACGATTTAAATAGCCGCGGTCATCTGATACGAACGACCATTGCCTAAAGATAATGAAACAATGAAATTTGTCGTTTCGCCGGCGATTTACAAGCAGATCTACATAGAAGCAGCTAGAAATAGTTGCGTCGCCCGAAGGGGTAAAATCGGTTAGAACCGGAAAGAACTAGGCCTAGGTCTTTGCGCCAGACGTATCTACATATATGTCTCTCTATAACGACATCATTTATCCTAAAACGTGTTGCAACTACTTATTGACAAATAAGTACTTAGAAGGTGCATATACTATCTCAAGAAACATTATAAGAACACCCAAAAGTTCATTCCACTATAGGATAACGTTATTTATTAAATAAATTTTCGTATCATTATAATAGACAAGAATTTGAAAAGTATTGATGATGAATGAATACAAGACGATGTCATATAAATATTTTCTTGAATGGCAATATTATTTGAGGTGCAAATTATGTCACGAACGAGACATCGTAGTTTCAACGCCAACGCAGAAAATGTTGGCGTGACTGGAAATCTTTTTTTTCTTTTTACAGTCGCGTCGTAAATAATATTAAATATTAGGATTCGCGCCAGTATGCACCGTCGTTGATAAATATAGCATCGCTCGTCGAAGTACCCACTGTCTAGATAAACATACAATTTATAAAAGATTTCCGGACGTGGGAGTTTTGTGGAACGTGCCGTGTCTCGTTCGACTATCGTCACTTATTTTAATCATTCTAATGATTTTTTGGAAACTTTCATGTTCCGTCCTTGAATCTGAATTATTCTGGTGCTCACTAATCTTCAGGCACAACATTAGAAAAGAATAATTTTCTCATCGAGTTGTCTTAAATATTTACTAGATATTTTAGTATTAATTTACATTTTTCTTTTAAACATTTAATTAGAATAAATTGTTATATTTCTTTCCATATATCTATATACATACGACCTATTGTCTCCGAAATTTAACTACGTTCATCGTTCAAACGACTACCGAATTTATCGTCTTGGCACAAGAGACGCTAGTAGCCACAGAAAGAGGCCTTCAAATTTCTCATGTCTACTTGTAGCCTGATGCGCTCTCTTTATTATTATTATTATTATTATTATTATTATTATTATTATTATTATATACCTAATATATCTGTAGTCCGATAATAAATAAGTATATAAGCTATATGATTAACCAGTTTTCGCATGTATTTCTGTCACCATGTTTCGCGAGTATACATACAAGTAACATAGAATGTACATACGAATTATGAGAAATTTTGAATATTCATAAAAGAGATATATAAATACACGTAAGCCTGCAAATTTAATAGTTCCGTTATCAGTCAACCGTGACGAAGACTCAGTTCCTCACGAGTTATTATCGTGTGAATGGTTTTTAAAAGATTAATATTTTTATTTTCTTGAGAAATACTGATGATGATAGTTTTAAATATTTTCCGATTAACAATCTTTTTCCTTTCTCGATCAATGTAGCATTATATTAGAAAAAGCATTAAATATCTTTAATCATCAAAAAATACAAAACTCATCGAGATGTATTCTGTTGATAGATTCATAAAAGTCAAACATCTACGAACGAGTTGCAGCATCGAAATACAAATTTTGAGATGTAAACCTTGAAATTAAATATATTTCAAATGTATATTTAAAACGACGAATTTATGTATCCTACGTTGATTTTGACACTATCGTGGGTGTAATTAAAATCTTGATATTAATATGGGTACGTGGAAAAATATTTAAATAAAAAACGCATCCTAAATTCTTTATCGATGTTTCGCATATGTACCGAAATCGTACGTGAGATATCGATAAACAAATTTAAATGTTATTTCTCTCGTAAATTATTACTTTATTTTAGATGACGATCAAAAATAAAGAAATATCCGATTTGTCAAGAGATCACCTTTCTTCGATTTATTTTAAATAATATGCACTTTCTCGAAATCTTTATAAATGAAAAAAAATATTTTTGTTATGAAAGTGCAATGATATAAAAAAAAACATAAAAGAAAGAGAGAAAACGAATAATTCAATAGTTATTTTAATACAAGTACATTAATTTTTGTAGAGAATTGCAATACAACGTCGAGAACAATCATTAACGATCGTTAATTTTTATTCATATTGTTAAAAAGAGTCAATGTGTTTAATTATAGAATTCTTACCGTTCATACCCACGTAGCAACAAAATATGTAGACATAGAATATTTTAATTGACTCCTGTTCAGTTATGTAATTGCAAATTATTTACTTTACTATTTTCATCCAATAGCAAATTATTCTAAATTTAATATAAACTCAATCGTGAAATTGTGAAAAGATTTTATGTGAACGTTCGATTTAACGATATGTTCTATATATTTTAAATACTTTTGTTTTTAGTTCTTATGTCCAGTTCCATATTCATTATACGTATTTAACGTAGTTCAAAAGTATTACACAATCTTTTTCTTATCTAAATCACTATAATTTTTTAATCTCAATACAGGTAACAATTACATTTATAAAAACTTATACCGATCTATTATATCACTTGAAATCACTCGATTGTATATAAAAATTCTAAATTATAAACTTTAATATACAGTAAACAAATCGACATTAAATTAAAATTTTCACGAATACTAACAAACTGCAAATTAAGCATCTCGAAGAAACCTTTCTTTTCTTTGGATGCGCACCTGACACTCGTCCGTTGAGAACTGCTTCGGTAGTCAGTATCATCCCTTCGGATATGTATTAACATTGAAACTTGCTCGATGTCGATCCGATGGAAAGTATCCAAAATCTATGAGTTCGAATGTTAAGCTCATTCCGTATATTTTAAAAAACAGATTTCTTACTTCGAATTTTTATTACAAGGTACGATTTCGATACGATCCTTTGACACCTTTCAAAAGCGCGAAAATATAAACATGTTTAGTTATTTCATCGTAATAAAGATACATATTCAGGTTCATTCGAATACGATCGTTACTCAAAGTAAATTTAGAAATGTAAAAATTGTATGAGCATATATACACGTTCGTTTATTATGTAAATTTTATTTTTTTTATTAACAAATTAAACACAAATATAAGATTTGTGTACAACCCCCATTTCTAACCTCATAGATACGGTTCTGCGAACTCGATCGAACTGCCATACAACGGAAAAAACTTTAACACTACAGTATAAAGCAAGTAAAAACCTTTATCTGGTAATGCGTATAGGTTAATATAAATTGATGATTTATAAGTTTTCTGGGACTTACGAATTGGATTTCTCTCTCTCTCTTTTTCAATAGTAATAAATTAATATAATTATTGATATATATTGTACGTAAAATACATGAATTTGTATTTTATAAAAATTAAAATATTTAACTTATATAAATAAATTGAAAGATGCTATGAAAGATTTAATGTGTGAATCCTCTCTTAATGTATAAAAAAGTGAAATCAAATAAACTATATCGAAGTAATAACTATTTCTTGCTTCCAGAGCTTTAAGTATGAGCGTTGACAAGTCTGTTTTATTACAAAAACAAGTAAAAGATAATTCAGAAGATTTACAAACTGAATTTCTTGATTTGAAAAATTGGGAAAAGGAAATGAAACGCAAAGACCAGGAGCTTCTCAATCAAAACAATGACCAAGTAAATGTTGTCGTACTTTATAAAATAAATAATTAAAATAATTAAAATAATTATTGCGAAATAATATTCATCTTTTATTTTATTTAAGCTTCATGATAATTATGATATTCGTTATATAGGTTCTACCTCCAATAAGAAGTAAAAAGAAAAAGATAGTACAAAAGCCTGCTACAAAAGAAGAAAAATGTAATACAAATATAAAACGAATTAAATCAAGTGATTATTCTGCTTGGGATAAATTTGATGTAGTAAGTCCTTTAATTTTTTCGTTTTCATGATTTTTATATATTTAAATAGCACATATTATATCACAACTAGATTTTATATAAAAAAAACTAAGAATTATTATTTTTGACGATTAAAATATTTTAATGAAGGAAAAAGCTTGTAAAGAAATAGATAAAACAGATTCATCTGAAGAATCTGAAGAAGAATTAAACGAAGATGCATTAACAACAAAGCATGATTTAGCCATAGAGCATAAACAAAAAGGCAATATATTTGTACAGCAAAAAAAGTGGGATAATGCCATTGCATGTTATAGCGAGGCAATAAAAATTTTTCCATATGATGCAGTTTTCTATGCAAATCGTGCTCTTTGTCATTTAAAAAAAGACAAGTATATCGTTTTTAATTTGTATATATTTTTGAACATTATATTATTATACATATAGTATTATAATATTATACTTTATTTTATTATAGCTTATACTCTGCAGAAGCTGATTGTTCTACAGCAATACAATTGGACTCAACATATGTAAAAGCCTATCATAGAAGAGCAATTACTAGATTAGAATTAAAACAATATAAAGAAGCCAAAGAAGATTTGGAAAAAATATTGAAATTAGAGCCTTCTAACAAGGAAGCACAAGTTAAACTTACTCAAGTCAATAAAAAACTAGAAGCTAAGGTTTAATATTTATATTTATTATCTTTTTAATTGTAAATCTCATATGTATATTACCCTAACATTTTTAGCCAGTTATTATATTCGAGGAAAAAACATTGAAAGAAACGTCAGTAGTAAAAAATATTGGTGAAAAAATGTGGAATTCTAATAATAAAATAAACAAAGAAATAAATAATAAAAAAATAGAGCAAGATGTTGTAAATAAGACAATAAAAAGCAAAACAAAATATATGCAAATTCCAAAATGGTTACCAGAAAAAGATAATGTCGAAATTGTAGAGCCTATTGTAAAACCACCTCACTTACACACAAAAGTAAGGAAATAACGTGAAATTAAAATCAATAAATTTTTAATATTTATTGCAAAAATATTAAATACTTAACTATATATTATTTATAGAGGTCAATGAAACGTATTGTAGTACAAGATGCAGAATTTGGAATTGCAATATGTAAAAACGAAGCTATCTTAATTAACAGTACAGATAATGTTCAACAAACTGAATCATCTAATATGGTTGATGATAAAATTGTTATAGAGAATAACACTTTAATTAAACTTTTGGAAGTTGAAAAAAATGTACGAGTAGATCCGCCTAAAGTCCCAAAAACAGCTGTACAATTCCTTATAGATTGGCGCAGAAATAAGTCATCAGAATATCGCTATCATTACTTAAAAGTATTCAACTAGTTTAATATCGCAATAATATATTCACCAATATCTTTTTATGAAATTAATAACTTTGTATTTCAGCAATTACCTTCAAATAGTTTGCCAAGAATATTTCAAGATTCCATGGAATCAGATATTTTCAGTGAAGTTTTAGATATTCTTAGAATTGAATTCATACCGCGAAAAGATTCAATACATCAGTATTTAAAAGACTTAAGTCAAGTAAAGAGATTCAGAGCACTTATCATGTTTATTAATAATGCTGGAAAAGATGGTATGTATGTTGTACACATTTATTTTTAACAATATTATACAAATTTATTTTTATTTTAGGAATAAAAATTCTTCTTGAATATTGTAAAAATACTGAAAACAAATCAGAAGAAAAAATAGAAGAATTATATAAAGCATACGAAATTTAAAATCAAAAGAGTTTTAGCTATAAACAAGTTCATAAATTTAATTTGGTATAAACTTTAATGTGAATATATATTTGTTACAATAACAACACAATTAATAACATACGCTTTTATTTTATTTCTATAAATGCTATTTATTTATTCACAATTATGTTACTTTCATATTGTATTATGTGCTATATTATACTAAATCGATTCTAAGAATATTTTTTCACGTTTTTTATATTATATTTTATATTAAAAAATCATTAACGTCGTTAGGTATATTTACAAAACGTATATTTACAAAAGTACAATCTATATTTCTATTACATACATATCTTCAATATTTATCGCAGTAATGACGAAAATGTATATGTAATGTTAAAAATTTTATATATATAATATATAAAATATATTATTATATATAATATAATTATATATATATTTATACTCCAAACATTACATAAAAATTGTTTAAAATAATACCTTTTATATGTCACCATTTAATAATCTTTGTATTTTTTGGTTATTTTTTATTATTCTTGCTTTTACTTGATAAATTTTATTTAGTTGGTCCTGAATGTTATTGTCAATTTCTTTTAATGTCATCTGCATCGGATCTATAATTTCTTGCGTACGTCTGAAAATAATAAGTAATATATAAGTAGTATATGTAATATATTTTTTATATGATGCAATTACAGGGATTGTACATTTGTTCCTTCTCCAATTGTTTGCTTAGTTGGTTATACTGACTTCTCCAATCATGTAATTCCTTCTGCATCATTTCAATATCTTCCTATATAAACAAAGTACACATAAAACGAACATATGTTCAAATATATTACATAAGTTTATTAAAGTTTATAGCTATATTCTAGCATAAAATTAAAATGATACCTGTAAGTAATCCAATAATTTTCCTAAAGGATTTGTTGCACGAGTTAACATCTGTATCGTACTGCGTAATTTATCAATTTCCTTAATCGCTGCCTCATGCTCGCGTTTTGTACCCGCCTCCCATGCCTAAATTCATAAGAACATCTATATTTCATAAAATCCTTTGTAAAGCGTGTAATTAACATAAACATAACTAAGAACATCTTACAATATCAACTTTCTTTGGTAAAACATCCACATTATCACTATTGACCAATTCTCTTTGAGTTTCCAAAATTTGTGCCACAAGATGTCCATGTTCTTGAGTTAATTCATAGTCAACTTTATAATTGCTAATATTCTCTAAAGTTGTTTCAATGCTTCCTTTGTTTTCTACAATCACCATATCTTCATTATCATTGTTTTTTATATTTGCATTTTCAATTATCACACTAATATTTCCCATAGGTGTACTAAAAACAAAATATATTATTTTCTATATAAATATTGTTTTATTAATAATATATATTTGAATGTTTGGTTAATGTATATATTTACTACCTTATTTCTTCATTAAGAATCAGGTCAGTTTTTCCTTTCATTTTAGGAGCAGCGGGTCTTGCACTACTTGGCCTAGCAGTAGGTGGACGTAATAATGTTCTTAATTTAATCATATTTTGTTCTTGTTCACTATTAAATTTATGTTTATGTAAATTTGATCCATGAATAATTGAATTGTCATGTTCTGCTTGCTGCAAATCATCACTTATATTTCCGTATGTTGATTCATATTCTGTTTCTAACTTTCCCTCATCTGTAGTCTCTATTGATTTTTTTCTTGTAGATATTGTTTCTGATATTTTTATTGATTCTTTAAACTCACTTCCTTGTTTTGATAGGACTCGTTTTGTTCTATTTGTAGATTCCTTTCTCTGAGTGTATTCATCTGATTTCTTGTCTGTATTTATATTTGTTGAAAGTTTGCTTGTCTTTATTTCTGTGGGAATCACGGAAGATATATGATCCTGTTTCTGTTTAGTTATAGCAGAAGAATGTTTTGTTTTTTGTATTACGGAAGATAGCTCATCTTCAAGTGGCTATATAAAATAATATTGTATTTATAATTTAACATTAAATATAGCACAAAATATTGGCTAGTTTAAAAAAAGATTACCTCAGCTAGTGGAATATTTACATCATTACTCTTTTCAATATTATTCTCTTGAATTTCTTGTTCTATTATATTGCTACTTTTATTGATGCTATTTTCTTGATTATTTTCTTCTTTTATTTTTGACTCAACTTTTCCTACGCTAGAAAATTTCTTTTGTAATCCAGATGCATGTGTTTCTTTTTCAGTTGATTTTCTTGTTTGCGATATCTGCCTAGATGTCTTTTTAGCAATATCATCTTTAGATGTTTTTAATTTTGTTCCTCCTTTTGACTTCTTTTGTAAACTTTTCTTATAATGTTCAATTGCTTCTGCGCTGTTTACCTAATTTAATTATATAAATATATTACTACAAAATATCATACTATAAAATTAAATCATACTTAAATATGTTTAAAAATATTTTACTTTTTTATCAAGAGCTTTTCCAATAGCTTGTAAAAGGTCATTTGTTTTAGTCGCTTCTTGTCCAGAAACTATTTTACTTGCTCTTACGGTTAGATTATTTCCAGATATTATTTCTAAAATATAATTTTATGTATAAATATAATGTTTTCAAAATATGAATAGATTTTACTGAGTTTTATAAAATAGTTTATTTCTTAGAACTTACTAACAACGTCTATAAGTTTTGTTAAATATGCTACTTTTGACTCTTTGTCTTTTATATTGTCTGAATTTAATTCTTTTTCTGTGAATAAACCTTCTAAGAAACCAGTCTCCTTTATTATCTGAAAGAAAATAATCAGTATAATTAATATAATATTTACTGACAATCAAAGAAAACATAACAAGAAAAAGACAAATTATAAAAATAAAAAAGAATTTTAATAATGATTCTAAGAATACATACAATTGATATAATATCGTGAAGAAATCTAAAGGGCGGTTTCCTCAACAATTTTTCGGTTAATGGCGGCTTTTTAAAATATTTTCCAAGTAAATCTTGCGTTTTTTTTATTACTTCTGGCTTCACGTCGTCTGCCATAGCTAAATATTGTTAAATTCATACGGAAAACTGTGAAAGTATTCAAACTATTCTGCTTAAAATCTTAATAAAACTTTTGTGGATATATAGAGTTGCTTAGCAACAACCACGTGGTTAAACGTCAAATAACTAATCTTTATGGCTTCCAAGGACTCTTGTAATTTGTTCCCGTTTATTTTTATCTTTCTTTAATATTACATATTTTCAATAGTATAGAGTTTATGAAATCATAAAATATATACAATATATGTATATTTTATATTTGTATCGAAATATATCGTAGATTTTATTGGCCAATAAATTATTATAATAATAGACAGCAATCAATAAAAAGGATCACAAATGTATATAGTTTATTTATTAAAATCCTGACATACATTTTAATAACTATCACATTTTTTGTATTATCACCATATCAAAATAAACTATGTAGTTCTTCTGGATCCGCTTTTTCATAAATTAAAAAATTTGCATGGATCATAAGTAAGCATGTAATAATAAAAGCATTCTTATGAAATATATATGTATATAATGTAATATATATGTAATATATATATATATGTATATATATATATTGTTTTATATTAAATAATTATAAAATTAATATCTATTATTAAAAATAGCATGAAATGTTGCAACGACTTACAACAATTATTAGTACTTTTACAATCGAACGTATTTCTATTACCATAGTTATGCTTCTAATTATTATTACCATATATTAAATTATTATTATTTTAATTTTTCAATATCTCATTAATAATATTCAACAAAAAGCAAATTTAAACACTTTGCTTTTTATTTCATCAAAACAAAATACGGTATATTTTATTATGTATATAATGTATGTATGCATGACATATATATAATTTATACTTCATTGGATGATGTAACTCGATCGGCTAACCTAACTCTAATAGAATTTTAAAGATTTTATGTGTACTTGTGATGTAATGATCGTTATTCAAAAGTATAAATTTTTATTATATACATTAATGATTGTCTTTATCTCTTTAGAATCATGACTGTCTTTAGTTTTAATAACGAGAAAATCAAAGAAAATTTATTAGATAATAAAGTGGATGAGCAGAAAGAAAATAAGATAAACGATAAAAATCAAAATAAAAAATTTGATAAGAATGCTTCTACGATAGACAGTTCAGTAGATGATGCGAATTGGGGTTATGATTTATATCCTGAAAGAAGGGGAAGATATAAACCTACATTTTTTAGGAAATTAATAGGCGAAGGAAAGGAAGAGATAACCAGATTAAAATGTGAAGGAAACGTGTACAAATGTATTAAAAATAGTATGTTCTTTATGTCTTATGTTATAATTTTTGCTTCTGTATTATTTATTATTTATTGTATTATTGGTTATAATGTCTTATATTACTTAGGTCAATTAGTACAACTTATGATGGCAGCATTAAAAAGCTCGGGATGGTAGGTAATTTTATCAATATATATATTGAATTACTATAATTATTTTTATATTTTGACGCAATATCAAAATCTAATTTCATAATCACTGTGAAATTTAACCTAGATATTAAAGTAATGAATTGTTTCAAACTATAGTGAAATTGATATGCGTCGTCATATTTCTTGTGAAATATGTGATTATTCTGTAAAAGGTGGCTATGATGCACAACTTAATCAGGTAAATATTAAAATAATATGAACGTAAAATTCTATAATTCTAAAATAACATTTAGCTCTAAATAGGTAAATATAAAAAAAGTAGATGTGTTTTATTAATATTTTGTGACTATGCATTATAATTTTAGATTGTTGTATGCCAAAATACTGCTCACAGTGAATCAAAAGTACAAGGTGTATTAGCTCATGAAATGATACATATGTTTGATTACTGTCGTAATAAATTGGATTTTAAGAACATCGATCATTTAGCTTGCACAGAAATAAGGGCAGCCAATCTTGTACATTGTAGTTTTATGAGTGCCATGATTCAAGGAACTGCTTCTCCATTTCATATAAAAAAAACTCATCAAGTATGAATTATATAATTACATAGTATCAATAACTATTTACATCACAGACACATAATACATATATTTTATTGTGATTAATTTAATAATAACTTACGTAGGATTGTGTAAAGAATATGGCAACAGCTTCTATAATGGGAGTACGTAAAGTAACAGAACAAGAAGCTAAAATAGCAATAGAAAAAGTTTTTCCCATGTGTTATAATGATTTAGAGCCAATTGGAAGACGTATTCGTAGAAACTCTTTGGATATTAGTAGAGCATATATGGAAGCTCCACTTTATGGATATATACATGATCATTAATGGATTATCTTCAAAGAACTTATTTTAAAAGTACACATGTAAAATCAATTTAACATATAAAAAGCAACTGCCACAGTTTCTTCAATATTATTATTTCTATAAGAATATATTATATTACCAATATTGTAAATAATTATAAATATATTATGTTATTATTAAACATTTTAAATTTCAAAAATAATTTTTAACCGAAATATATTATGAAATATTATTACGGGATCATATAATATGATATAAGTATTTTAATCTTTTGAATTGAAAAAATCTTGCTAAGTCATGATAGTTAGATAAGTTGGATTAATTGTGTAATATTAATCATTTTATTTTATATATATTTTACATTACATTTCACAATTATTTTAATAAAGAAATTTTGTCATTTTTCCACATTGCTTATCAAACACAAAAAATTATCATGAATAATTTGTTATATATTAAAGAATAATTATTTTTGTCACAATGTTAAAATATTTAAATGCCAATAATGTAGAAAAGAGATAATTTGTTATTGGTTGCTTTTTAAAACGTTTTAATTTAGGTCCCCTTGAAGATTTATTTGCAGAACTAATGCACCAGACCATTCTTTAAATATATGTATCCAAAGGTATGAAAATTACATCTTCAAAACTTGCATTTATTATTCTATATACAATTTCAGCCTTTGCGAGGAAGATGTAATTTTTATGATAATTGACGATCTATTGAACAGATTAGCTGGTTGCTACTTATTTGACGTGTTTTCATTGGAATAATTATTATGGAAAAATTTTTTTTACTACAATGATAAATTATGTATTATATTGAAAATATGATGAACTTGATATCATCTTTCAGACTGTCACAAATGTAATTGTATCCATATCATTAAGTTCATATACTTTTAATCCTTTTGACTGCATATAACACCTCAAGATGCTTAATTAAAAAACTTCATTAACTAAACAAAAGATTGATGAAATGGTACACATTCTTAAATCTCCCTTTTCTCTGCAAGTATCGTACATTTTGTGCTCAATATTTTTTATAGTAATCTTTTGTATAATTTGTACAAATATTGCTCCTATCATACTTCAATATATAGATATTGCCTGCAAAAAATTAAGTGTTAAGTTCTGAAAACTAAAATTTTTGGAGAATTTGAATATAGAGAAAATTTAGAAAAACAACAATGGAATGTATTTCAATCTTATAAGAAGATAGTCCATGGCAATTTCCTGGAAGCGAGAAATATTTGGTACTGTAATTTTACTTAGTTTACAAAAGTTTTCACATGGTTTTCAATCTCTATCTTTTTGGGTATCAAATATAGAGAATTAGTTTAAAAGTTCCAAAACAAATTCATTTTGTTAGCATATTTTCAAATTATGTACTTAGTTCTTCATAGAAAATGACTTGAGTAATCAATCATTTATGTCATATTCCACACAATATTTTCCTTCCATCTTCTTTATTCGGTACGTAATATTTACAAACTCCTTCAATATATAAGCAAAAGCATTCAAGTAATTTATTTTAAGCAAGGCAAATATCGGTGATTTATTCCATTGACCTCTTCTTGTATATAATTGAGAAACATTAGCTGTTTTTGATTTTTGAGTTTCATTAATTAATATGCTTTACTAGGACAATTATGACCTAAAATATAAATGGAATAACTATATTTCATATGTATTAATAGTTGAGAAAAACAATTAAAACTTATTTATGATTAATTTATATTTGATCAGTTTTTTTGTAATGGTAGATATGTTTGCTCCTATATATATCAAGAAGTAAATACCTATCTTATAGCTTTTATTGAGATGGTATCGTTTTTATTATTTAATCCTGCTATTTAAATTAATGAGACTACTAGTTTTTCTTATTATTAGGCTGGTTATAAACTTTGTTTTTGGATATATTGCAATTTTTTTATTAAAACTGTCCGCTATTTTAATAAGAGTATCATTTTTTTAATTTCTTAGTTTTAAAAAACCTCTATGATCTATTGTAGTAAGATTGGCTATCTGTTTTCTAGATTATTACTTCATTATTGAGTCGCTAGAGTTGAAAGCTTTAAAAGATTATCTTTTTAATTAAAATAATATAATGGTAAATAAAATAATTTGTTCATCAGTAGATAATTCTACTATTCAGATGATTTTGAGAAAATCTTTGGTAACACTCCCTAGTTAATATTTTAAAACAACAAGACTATTATAGATTTACGATTTCCTAAATTTTTATGCTTTAAAAAATGTCAACTTCTACTCTTTATTAGCAGATAGTCTAGAAATCAGTTTTTTATTAAGAATATCATACATATCAATTAGTTGGTTATTTAAAATATCTAACACATCATCGGTATGCTTATTTTAAAAATTTCGTAATATATAGTGCTATCTGGCATAGTCTTGAATGGCTATAATGAATTATGATTCTGGTTGCTGGAAATGTCACACCTAAACTATTTCCATGCCTTGAGTGTATAGTAAACATCTTTTGTTGTACAAAATTTGCTTGCTTATGATCAGAGCACAAATATATTGTTAATCAATTTAGATACTATAAATATTGTTATATCTTTCAGAGAATCACTGATTTTAATTTTAATATATAAACTATTACTAACATACAAGTATGATAATATTACAAGATGGATTATAAAAACCTTTGATTTTAATAAATTATATTGTATTGAACTTGACATGTGAATAGAAGAAAAACGAATAAATGTTTATTCGTGTTTGACATAATCGCGCTCTATGAGTACTTGACTCGGTAAGAAAAGTTACAAAAACATTAACAAGATGACGCTGTAATAGAGTTTCCCTATTGGTCGTCATACTTATGATGGTTAAATAGTAATTGAAAATAAATATATTTGTTTAGTATTTACGAAGATATTTTCTTTTTATTAAGTTAACTAATAGAGAAACAAGGAATAAAAAAAATTTTCTATTAACATAGCTAGAAATAACTGGAATTAAAAAAGGATTATTTTTTGAAAAGAAATTCTTTTCTAAACATATATATATACACACGCACATATATATGTGTATAGGGTAAGAGAATCAAACCAAATCCTCTTCTTCATTTTCAAATTTGAAAATACATCGTTTTGTCCAACAACAAAAATGATTGAGGAAACTCACCAATCCAATTGTGCGAATGTAAGCCCAAACACTGATTCTACGACATCGCCATCTACGAATATTTGAATAAAAAATTAAACAATCTTTTCTGTTTTACTTACATCTTTCATCTTATATTATATATGGTTTTAACTCCTCCGGAAAAGAGTAGAGGAAGCGTTCTTTTTGAGATATTTTTTCATAAGAACAATCATGGCGGAAGTGAGTGTTTCTGTGTAAAAATCTATTAACATCTATGTCATCGTTAATATAAAATCATTTTATAATTCTTTTTATAAATCCTTTTATCATTATATATGTTGTAAAAGAAATATTGATATATGATAACATGGGTGGATTGTACATAACCAATTGTTGTAAAAAAATTTCTACATATTTTAGGCAGATGAAACCCAGAAGAAAAAGAGGACCTTCAGGAAGTTTACCTTCCGAGGAGTTGATCTTGATCAACTCCTGGATATGCCAAAGTAAGTTTTCATTATCTTATAACTTATTTATGTATTTCTCATTATAAAATTATAGTTGTTTAAATATCTTATTATTGTTTTAGTGAACAACTTATGGATTTGATGCATGCACGTGCTCGTAGACGTTTTTCTCATGGTTTGAAACGTAAATCTATGGCACTTGTCAAGAAATTGCGTAAAGCAAAGAAGGAAACACCTCCTAATGAAAAACCTGAAATTGTAAAAACACATTTGCGTAACATGATTATTGTTCCAGAAATGGTAGGTTCCATTGTAGGTGTTTATAATGGAAAAACTTTCAATCAAGTGGAAATCAAACCAGAAATGATTGGTCATTATCTTGGAGAATTCTCGGTTACTTACAAACCGGTAAAACATGGAAGGCCTGGTATTGGTGCCACTCATTCTTCAAGATTTATTCCATTAAAATAATATGTATTTTTAAGATAATAAAATATTGAAATACTTATTTAATGACTTATTTTATAGAGTAGATGCTTGAATTTTTTTAATATTTTCAATTCTGTTTTAAAATTATCATATAAATAAAGGTAATAAAATCCATTAAAGAAAAGTTACCAGGAAGGACAGAAAATTCGTTGACATCGGAAGGTAATTAAGTAAATCTAGCATTCTATTCATGAAGTTTATATGTAGATGATGTGTACAGTTTTTTTCTATTCATAAAGTTTATATGTAGATGATACATGTACGATGCAACAAATGATTTATACTATATTTCAGTGATGATAATCGAAGAAAGATAGTGAGAGTAAAAATAAATTACATATATAGTATCGGTACACAACCATTATAAAAAAATATTTTTGAAAAAATAGATTCAAATGCGACAGATTCTACACAGAAATAATTATTTCTAAATATATATATTTATATGTGTTATGCACACATTATAATGAACGATAAATGAAAAATAATATGCAAGTTGAGTATTGGTCATGAGTATTAGTCAATAGTCTCACAGTATCCACGAAATTATTGATATAATAACACGAAAAGAAATTATGAATTAATGGATTAAGTTTCTTATACATTAGCAGAATTGAATACAAAAGAAACCTAAATTTATTAAATCAGCATATAAAAATAAATATAAAATATCAATATAATATAGTAATATTTTATAAATTATTTTATAAATACACATATTACAATATTTACTGTAATTACAATATATTACTGTTTTGTTATTTTAGATTCTATAAAAAATTTGAATTCTCAGATATAATCGAATGGATTCATTGTACCTACATTGCAATTTTTACAATAACACATCTTTTACTGAGACAAAAAACCGTGTGTATATGTGTTTGTTAATACACTAATTGGAGTGTTGATACTTTATTATGCTGATGGATCAACATGTTGGTTTGCGTGCATTTATCGGAGAAATGTCAATAACATCATATTGATGTCACGTGCAAAACTATCGGACAAATGTCAGTGATACCACCTTGGTGTCGCGGACAAAGTTATCGGACAAATGCCGTTAGCATATTGTTTATATCGAGTATAAGACAACAATTAGTTATAGGCTACATTCAATCATATTATTATATTTTTTAGTTTCTAATTTATTAATATAATAAAATAAATGAAACTGAACTCTCTAGAACCCCCTAGCAAAGAAAGAAGAAGAAACGATATGCAAAGTGAAGCGTCGACAATTTATCCGATGTTCCAATTGAATTTAAGAATTCTAAAAAAAAAAAAAAAAAAAAGAAAAAAAAACTTGATATATTCAGAAGAAAAATTAAGTAATGAAGAATTGAAAAAGAATAACAAATTCGAAGGAGTCTAACTTATTTCTCATACATACATAAAAAGTAGAAGATACTGCAGATTTATTTATTGGAAACGATTTATTTGAATTTATTAGCACGAAAAGAAATAAATACTACGTATAAAATTCCGATAGGAACAAGCAATATAAAAAAGTGCTAAATTTTTTGATGTTACTGTACGCAAATTTGAAAAATAATTCGCTTTCTCAATTTTTATGAGAATAATTAAAAAAAACAAGGATAAACGATTATTAGTCCAGAAATTCAAATAAATATTATCATTTATACATTTTTCTGATAACAGCAATATGTCTGACAATGCTAAACGAGTAGTACAAATCTTCAAAGTACAATTAATGACAGATCATTTTTCAAAAAAGTTTCGAAAAATTTTTAATCCTGAGCAAAATATTTTCATCGATGAAGATACGATATCATAGCGTGGACGACTAAATTTTAAAGTTTATAACCATTCAAAAATGACTAATCTTTATTCGAATGCTATGATTCTACGGGATATATTTCGTGCTTTAAAATATATTCAGGTGCTGGCCAGATCTTAAGTAACATTAAAATACGGTAATAGAATTATTAAGACATTCTGTGAGAAAGTGGCATCATCTTTACTTGGACAATTATTTTAACAGGGTAGAAATCGTAACGAAGTTATTTAAAAATAAAATTTGGGTCTGTGGAACGATTATGTAACAAAATCGTTCCGCAGACCAAAATGCCAAATTGGTTGATGCTCGAAGAATTTGTAGAAAAACCAATTGTAGAATTAAAAAACTTAGATATCTAATGGATTACAATCAATATATGAAAGGATCGAGCTAATTAGTATCTGAGTTATTATTTTATATACAGAAGAATTATAAAATAGTCAAAGAAAGTAACATTATATCTCTTCAATAATGTTTTATTTAAAGCATTTAAAGTATATGAATATTTCAATATAAATTCTAAAAGTCTGCACTTTTATGAATTTTCATTGAAGTTATGTTTTACACTGAAGCTTAGTTAACAGATAATTTACCAAATATGGAAGAGAATATTGAAGTTTCTATAACATCACGATTGAATTGAGGCTTTTCGGACATCTAAAATATTACGAATTAATACAAATTTTACAGACTGATAAACGTAAAAGAAGATACCGTATGTGTTCTACAAAGAAAATAAAAAAAAAACAATAAATTTGATATGTAAATCTTAAGTGATGTGTAAGTTCCAACATCTTAGATTGTTTTACTTAAAAAAAAAACTATTGAGAAAAGTAATAAAAATATATCTATTATAATAAAAAAGTTTACATTTATTTACATATATCTTCGGAATTTCGCATAAATAGGATGACAGGATCAAGAGTTATTGAAACATTCATATTTTACTACGATATATTCTAATTATAATATGAACAATTGCTCGAAATGTACCGGTGATAGACAGTAAGATCTATGTTGACATACCGATGGCAGACGAAAGATTTTCTATTACACGTGTGGAAATCAGTGCTAGTAAAAAAATTATATAAATTTTATAATAAAAATATTTCCTTTTAGTTTTATTAATTCTATTAATTGATATAAAATTTTAAATATGATTTTTTCATAATTTATTTGTTTTTTTTTTTTATTATTATAAATAATATAATACATTTTTAAAAATTGCTGTTTCCGTTCTGGTTACGTTTTGTTAGCGACTTTTATACCTGTGCTTTGAGAGTTATTTTACGATCAACTATTCAGCAGGACGGTCGGAATAATTAATAAAAACGTGTCAACAATATCGTGATGCTTGCAACGTTTATGAAGACGCGCATCAACATTTTTTGGTCCTTTGAACCGAGTAAAGTTCTTAAAGCGCAAGTAAAGAAACTTGTTCTGTCTAACATGTGCAGACAAATTCTTGGACAAACTTTTGATTATTTGCATCATTACCAGAGGTCTCTGTATGTAACATGCATGTTCCGCTGCCGTGTGAATAATCCATGAAATGTAGCAAAGCAGTGAATTGACATATTGCAAATCGTTTTGTGGGAGGTTAGAGGATCTTTTCGTTCTAATTAAAGGTAATAAAGAAATATATATTAAATAAAAATATTAAAAGAGAGGGGAAATTAACTGTTATAACAAACTTTGTTTTGTATAAATAAAAGAATAATTGCATGAAAGTATTTATCGATAAATAGTT